GAATTCAACGAAATATTTGAAAAATCGTTTGCTATGAATTATTGCTTGATCAAATGTTCGTCGGTGTTAAAATCAACTAGATATCTTTGCTTCGAGTTGAACAAAATACTTGAATAGTTGTTTGATATAAATTATTCCTTGATCAAGTGTTCGTCGATAATAGAATCGACTTAGCATGTTTGCTATCAAGTGAACAAAGTATTTGAGTGTCTGTTCTTCTTATTCTTTCATTGTGTTGTATATTTGCATATGCAGATACTCATCATTGTTTCTTTCAAGTAAAAAGCATATATGAATAGGACGTTTAAGCGAGGTATGTTATGCCGGTATATAGTGTTGATGATAATGTATTGAGAAAGTTCCCTGATAATGTATTCTATCATTCAAATTTTCTTCCAGACGTTCATTGTGATTTACAGTTTTTTATGATCTTGAATTAACTCAATAGTTATTGTGAAACATGATCTAAAATAAGTTTTGAGGTATAGAGCTAAAAATCTGGGCCTTCTACTCTGCTCCCCGTGCTCCTACATGGTGTGGTAGACGCTGTTGATATATGATCGCAGACTATATATCCAAAACGTGTTGCTATAATGTGTAAACTAATTCATCATTGCATTTCTGAACAATCTTGAAAGGAAGACGAAGAAATATGTCATCTTAATCTTGGAAGCATTGCACTAACAGCTGTATTTTCTTTGTAGGATATATGTTACAAGCTCAAATTCACATTCTTAAATGGGATTGTACCATCGATGACAATAAAAATCAACAGACATTACGTAGTAGCCAGCTCTCTTCTTCTATTTTCTCAAGTAGTTAGTTTTCTTTTTTTTTACATTGTGAAACAGTTTACTTTTTTCTTTTATATATACTCGCACATTTCTTTTTTTAATTTTTCTGTATTTTCCTTATTTATTCATGTTAATAAAAAACAAATAAAACTTGTTGCGTTTAGCTTTGTTAAAGACAACAACAAGTATCTAGAACAATTATGAGCAAAGCACCATTGTCTTCCTTTGCTCAAAATCAGGTATTCAGCCAATTATTGTTTCATTCAGAGTGAGGGTAATAGTTCCTGGAATACTTCTGCGATACAACTATAAGAGCTTCTATCAAGAACTTGTATATGCTGCATTGGTGTTCGTTTCAATTAAAGAATAATGAATCCTTCGATTTTTCAAGCACAGCTTTAATGCACGAGCATAATATTGTTCTACTGTCTGAAATTCGAGCGTGGGCTCTTTTCAAACATCATATAAATTGTACACTTGATAGATATCATCAAGCAAAATCTTAATTCATGATTCAAGCAATTTTTTCACCGAAAACAACAAATTGTCATAATAGAATTGACTTGCTAAAGTTTTCTTCAATTATTTTCAAAATTTAAGATTTTCTGTGACAGTTTATTCTACAGACTTCAACAAGAAACATGTACTTCATATCATTTTGCAAGAAAAAGAAAGAAAAAGTTTCGATTGTTCGTTGTTCACGTTGGTAGCTCTTGCAACACCATCTATTAAATGAACAGTAAGAAAAATAAAGATTTTTTCTTTCATTCAATGTGCTGCATTCGAATCTTGTTCAACTAAAGTTTGAAAATTGTGAGAATGTGGAAGATATTGTTGATGTTTCCGGGTCTAGTAAACCATTACGAGTTTCAACAATTCATGAGGAATTTGATGTTGCGGCAAATTCATAACAAAAGAAACGTCTGAAAAAAATACATCGAAGAAATAAGAAATAGAAACGGTACAGGAGTGTAGTGCACAGTGGACAGAAAAAGAGGGCTAGGAGCAATCTGTTCAATCACCATGGCCAAAAACTTGGTATTTTGTGTAGTTGTGCTTCGCACTTGATACTGATTGTCTGTGCTTATCTAGCTCGCTTTACTCGTAAGATATCTGAAAAATAGATTTTTTGCTGAATTTTTCAATAAAGCCCTGTAGTCTTTCTTAGATCACGTTGAACGTTGCCTTTTGAGTTTTGGATTGAAACTTTGTATAAATAATATTGCCAATGGAAGTAATTCATTCTAAAAGTTCCAGCTTTTTTCGTTGTTTCTGTCATGAGATACGAATATAAGCACAAAATTTGCTTTTTCACACAACTCAATTTTGAATATGCGTATCTTATGACACAGACAACGAAAAAAACTGAAACTTCCAGAACACACTAACCATATTGAGAACATTATTTATGCAAAGTTTGAAATCGAAACTACAAAGAAAAATTTAATATAATAAGAATGAAGACCTGGAAAACTAAAGTATTCCAGACATTTTCAACGGCATTCATTGAATCAACATAGGCTCGATCCAGATATGATTTAGCACCTCTGGAGAGTTTCTCTCATGAGTTATAAACGTTTTCCAAGAAGAAGTCCAAAATTGGAAATTATTTATGGATTATGTTTAGAACCAAACAAATCGATGTATAAGTTTGAAAATTGTATACATTTGAACTTGTATTATCTATTGAAAACTTGATCGATCTGCAAGATTAGTAATTATTATACAAGTAACTTTCAATGAGTCTACATCGAAGGCTATATTTGACACGCCGTATCTCAATAAGGACTTAGATTCGCATCTTTGTGCATCCATCAAAGTTGGTTCATGGCATACTCTATCTGACAGTAAATTAAAATTCAAGTAAAAGTCCTGAGAAAATTCGGCGAAACAACTGCATTATTCACCAGTCGTTATTTTCTGGTATATTACGAGTAGGTTTTTTAGTCCTATTGGAGCAGAAAAAACTTCACGAATAGTGAAATGCCTATAGTATATAGTAAATACATAGCGTTGAATAACGTTATGATATCTAATGAATATAATTAGCGCTTCAATTTAAAACATACATTTTACTTGTCGAACCCTATTAGTAACGTTCACCTATTTTATCTACTTTGTGGAAGCCGCTGCAATACGACTAGTCCCTTATAATCAGAATCTGAAGTGTTGTAAAATCCAAATACATAGCAACTTTGATGCCAGCTATAACATAGGTTCAGATCTCAAAAACTGATTTTGTCACGTAATGGAGCGGGAAGGAACGAAGAGTGATTATTATCTGAGACAGTACTTTCGTAAGACTTAATTTTTATTTTGAAGAGTAGAAAGTGTAATTAATAATTGGTTCATAAGATTGAAAAATACATATAGTTGAATTTATTTTCAAACTCATCGATATTTGAAAAAGTTTATTTCTTAAAAATTCATTGTACTTATTGAACATTATTTCATTTTGGACAAGTTGTGGTTGGACCCTAGCAAATCATGTACATATATAAATCATAGAATGGACACTTCTTACTCAGAAAAATTCTTTGATAAAGAAAAATGAAATGAATCAATCATATGCTATATTAAAAACTAATCTTTTTATCTTCTAGAACACTTTAAAATAAAACGAATATCGAAGTTTTTAATGAATAGTATCGATATACTAAAAGTTAAAAATATTCTCTAATTGAAAATAATGTTGATAAATAATCTGCATAAAATTTTATTTGTGAATAGTATTGAATAAATTCTGAATTCAAGTAAAATTTAAAATAAACTCTTTTCCAAGTATTGAATTCATTTATATTTGATGAAATCTAGCTAAAAGTTGTTTCATTCGTCTATCTATTATCATGTGAAAACAGTACCTTAATTCTCAGTAGAATTATATACATATATGACGGACGAAGTTCATCGCAATGGTTAAATTAGAAAAAAAAAACGTTATATCCATGGTTGAATGGATTCATATGTGGTTTAGTGACCACTTTGTACAACAATCAATGTGAGGATGAGAGTTTCATCTGATTGCAGTTGTACGAAGTAGATATATGATGAGCAACATTTTCCGACGCTTTTTCATACTAATTTGTCTTTGTCGAAGGCAATTGCTTTTACATATTTATAATTATTTATTTTCAAAATTTAACTGAAAATACTCTTAATTACAGTGAATACTGCTGTTTAAATTAAAGAAAAAAAGAATGTTTTTTTTAGTTGCATATAACTTAGAACATAGAGAAAGATAACCAATTGCTAGCGCCATCTATTATTCCGTTAACATAGAAAAAAAATCAAATTTTTTTTCGTATAAAAATTCACATCGAAAAGTAAAAATGAATTAAATTATTTTGTAACTTAAATTCAGTAATAGAGTTCAATAACAATATTTTGATTGATTATATAATCAACTAATTATGATAAAGTTGATATTTCACGTGAGATTGTATCATTTTATTAATTATTTTGTTTCAATAAATGGAATCATTGGACAAATTTCGTTATTCTTGGCAAGAAGAAATTTCAAAAGAAAAATCTAATCAACCGAATTCCATCGATGATATTGCACTTACTCCAACTGGTGATCTCTGTCGATTAGGTACAAAATCTAAACATTCAAATGAATATAAAACATCTATTCCACCATCATCTCAATCAATTTGTCCATCACATTCAATAATTAACAATGCATCATTTACAATTGGTATTCGAACATTTATTGCTTCAAATTCTTCATCCACAAAACTTTCATTAATTGAACCACCAGTTAAAAAATTAAAAACATCAAATTTAACATTAATCGATGAATTAATACGTGATATTGATGAATCAACAGATATACCATTTTTTAATATATCATTACCACGTGAAATAGCATTACATATATTTAATTATTTATCAATTAAAGATTTATATTCATGTTTACAAGTATGTAAATCATGGTATTCATTATCATGTGATGATATATTATGGTATAATTTATATAAACAAATAAAATTCGATAATATAAAAAAAAATCACAATGATACGTGGAAAGATCATGTTAAACAAGCTATTTTATCAAATCAAAAATTAATACAAAATTTTAAAAATCATCAATGTCGTACAACTAAATTAACAAATCGTCTTGGTATCGTTTTAACATGTGCAAATAATAATCAAACAACAATTATTGGTGGTTATTCAACTGGTATTATTCGTACATGGTCTATTGAAGCTATTCTCAATGTTGATGATAATAATGAAGATAATGAACAATTAAATATACCTGATATTATTTATGAATCAACAGATACAAATCAATATACAGATTTATCAAGTGTTAAATCAGTTGGATTTTTAAAAAATGATATTTATGCTATACATGATAATGGTCTATTAGAAGTTTGGACAAAAGATATTGGTGATAAACCTCGTTATACTCAACAATTACCATCAATACCAATTCAACATATTGAAAATGATGAAAATATATTATGTACTTCAAGTCGATCGAAATTTTGTGTATGGAATTTTAATGAGGTAAATATGATTAAATAGTTTTATAAAATTTATCATTGAATGTTTTTATGTTCATACGCAAGAGAGTTTATATAGTATATTTTAAGACTCGAGATGGAAGAGAATTTATTCTTATCATGTGTCTAAAATAATTCTTTAATACTCGCTTTTTTTTATGTATTTAGTCGACGATTAGTACTTTTTTTTAAAGTCATCTCTTTTGAATTATGTTCTAATTCATATGATTAAAAGGGATAATTTGCTTAAAACTAAAGAATATTTCACTATAAACTTGAGTGCCTGTTTCGGTAAATTTTTGTCTCGTAGTCTTGATTCTGCACATCTTTCCGCTGCAGTATATGGTTTGATGGATATAATCGAAAAAAAATGTTTTTCAAAAATAGGACGTATCAGTTTATATATCATGGTTCATTTGACAGACACTAAACTGTGAAACAGAGACGCATAAATCATATAAAGGAATGTTTCTGAAGCGATTTTAAAATTCATCATTTTTGCGTTCAGCAAAAGCAAATTCTTTGCAATTTTGGCAGATTATTGTACATAGATATGTAAAATACTAGCAGAGTTAAAAGTTATTAGTCCATCATAATGAATTTTTATCTATAGTAAAAATTATAGATTTAAAATCTTTGTAATTATTTAGCACTAACTTGCAGAGTCACAGTCAAGTCAGTAAGCCTCTCTGCCTGTCCGTGACAGATAGACCACCTGGTGTTTGTATTTTTTTCTTCTTCGATGACCAAGTTTTATTTTAGAAATTGAATATTTTCCTAGAAAACAACTCTATGGCAGACTTAATTTCAAAGATAACATTTAAAAATGATAAATTAGGTAAAGTTACACAAATTGTCTTGTTTATAATTACTTGCATAATTAATTCAGCTGAAACTGAACGATCTTTTTTCTGCTACAGGCTTTTTGCAGTTCCAGAAAGTCATTTCTACTTACTAATTCATAAATATATATAATCTATAGTAAAATCTTCCATTGTAAATGTCTCTAAATCGTTACAGAACTTATAGAACATCATTTATATATATAAAGTCTGAGTATAGGATATATTTTAATTTTTTTCTCTGATGAAGGAAAGAATAATGCAATGGAAATTATTCGATTTACAGAAATATCGAATGAAGTTCAAAAATACCTAATCAGTAAGTGTTATAATGATGACATGAATTCAACTGACATTAAAATTATGAATAAGAATGTGATATTTCTCGAATTTAAAAGATCAAAATGATATTCGACGCTTTCTTTTTAAATTAAACTAATTACTTCTTACTCGATAGTAATTCACATTTTTCAGTTTTTTATACAATAATTCATTCTTAAATACCAGCTCTTATTTCATGCATTTTAGTTAAAATAACCTCAGAACTGAGACAAAATGAAATAAACCCGCCCACAGAATAGAAGCCCATCCTGTTCGAAATGAGAACAAAATAAATAATTTTAAAAAGTTTTGATGAACTAGTTCAACACTTCTTATTGTTTAATTGTAGTTCAGTTTATATGCCTAATTTCCGTTGTATTTTATGCGTTTTCTATCAACAGAGAAATGAGCATCTATCAAATGTTGAAAAATCAGTGCAGATATATATTAATAAAGTATAAATGTCTAGAAGTTATTGAATATTAATTCTGTGTGGAATAATATTATTCCATTGGATTTTATACTTTTATGGGTTTATACACCGTTCAGAAAAGAAATGACGAAAATTTTTATTAACTTCACAGCAGTATGAACAAATCTTTAACTGAAAAACGAAACCTCAAAAAGCTAAACTATAACTGATGCCAATTACGCCAGAGATCATGAAATTTAAAAGCAAATCTCAATATACAGTGATACGTTGCGAATTAATATAACATTCATGAGACGTGAACTATCGATCTCTCAAAAAAAAACAGGGAGACTCTTATTAAGTAGACAAGGTTTACGTCATATAACTGCCACGACGAAGTTGTTCAATGGAACTGTATCGCTATATGTCTCATAGAAACCTCTTTTAAATTCCTTGAAAGCTCGTCAATTTCGCACGTCACTGCAGACAACCTCTAAGACTACAAGTTTCCTATTCAAAGTTTTTTCTGAACATGTCTAGATTTTTCAAAAAAATGAGAAGTTCAACACCAATGTCAAACAGTACCAATCCTTCCTCAAAATCGGATTTCCAGAGGAAGTTTTTGTAGAGTTCGATCTATGCTGAAAATTTCAGCACAGACACAGTTCTGGCGATACAGTCAACGGTGAAGTTTTCAGATTTTTTCTTTCACATATGGTTAAAGAGATGTTCGCTAATTACTTTTTTATTAATAGTCAACTGAAAGAGTCAACATTTATATATATATATATTTATGCTAAAAAAAAATTGTTCAGAGAAATGATCCTTGCAAAGAATCAAAGTCACATGAAAGATGTGTATGTTACATTTTGCCTCGATCACTCCATATCTTTCAATAAAGTTTAAAGATATCATCTTGTTTTTTTTGTTCTTAATTTTAGAATGAATCAAGTGCTCAATATCAAGAACTTAATTTTCTAACTGATTTAAATGATCGTATTGTATCATTCTGTATGTCTAGTTCTCATTTCGTACCAATATCAATAATTGCTTCTAGTAAATCTCTGTGGTGTATATCATTAACAAATCTAATACATCGTCATTCATTTTATTCAATACTTGATTCCGATTATATACAAAAAATTCCATTAGATATTCATAATGATGAACCATTAGCTATAATTGGATTTGATCGTGAAATAAAATTATTTGATTTAGAATGTGGTCGTTGTAATATTATAACAACAAATTATAAAAATTTTCCAGCAAATATTCATTTAATACGTGCTGATAAATGTCCTATAAATGAATTTATAGTTGCATTTGATAATTTTCAAATAAGTATATTTGATCGACGACAAAAAGAAGGAGCTGTACAACATTTTTATAATCATTATTCTACAATAACAACAGTACAAATGGATACATGGAAATTAGCAAGTACAGATGTATGTGGTTTTGTTCGACTTTGGTATGAGATTAAATTATTGTATATATATATATATATATATATTTTTAATTTTGTATTTATAAAAGGGATCGACGAATGTCTCCACGTTCTTTATGGCATATGAATCCTCAATCACATCCTGTTACACATTGTTCATTTGATAAACAAACACTTATTTTTGCATTAACACCATATTACAAACAACCAGATATGGTAAATTGAATTTTATTTCTAAAGAATTTTTTCTCTAACTTTTCCTCCCTCAACATAGAAGTTCACTCGATGTCTAATTTGTAAGTTGTTTGAGTACTTTCGGAATTGTTATCATAATTTCCTAGAAATCAAGGGCTAACTACTAGCTTCTTCCGATTACCTGTAAAAACTGCGGACACCCATTTAAGATTACGCCATTTGTTTTTACCTGGATTTAGCGTTTTTTTTTTGTGGATACAGACATCTATGGTTACTTTGAGTTTGACTTATACCAGATGTTTTGAATAAATATCAAAGTAACTGTCGTTATCTTTAAAAATTAAAACTAAGATAACCATAAGTGTCTATATGGTCCGCAGTTTTAATAGGGTGTGGGCGTGGGTGTTTATGTCCACAAAGAAGATGATATTCGGTTTGAACTCTAGTTTTTTTTGCAGCTTTTACAAATATCCGTTTCTTTCCTGGTTCCATATCATCAAATCGACTAAGTAGTACGTTCTGTACAATATGTTTCACACTTCGATATTCATTTACGTTCAGTATTTCATGGATCTTGTTAGTGATACGAAAAACTGCAGTTTAAATAATATGATGATTTGAATTATTGCGACAGAAATATAAAGTAAAAAAATCCGTGCGTACTGGAGCCCATTGGGTCTAATATTGGATCAGACAAGCTCTAGAGTAGGTGCCCGTTTTTTTTTTGTTATCCTACGTAGTCATTTGTACCATTGTGGCCATAGTTGTTGGATAGAAATTATGCTATAGATACGTAGTTTTTAGACGGCTATGTTTGATAAATATGTATGCAGACAAATTTTTTCTGCTTTTTAAAGAAGTTCAATTTTTTAAAATTCTCTGTTTATTTTGAATGGAGTGAGTTTCTATTCTGTAGGAAGTTTAATAATTGTTGTTGTCTTTTTTTAGATTGATTATCAAATTGATCCTGATTCATTATCAGGACATATTTATGTATGTGATTTTACATCGGATATTTCAACACAACTTGGTGATGATTTAAAAATTTGTACATCATCTTATGATGCACCACAAGCATCGAATAGAAGGATTGGTTTACATACTCCATATGATATTATTGAGTAGTAAAATTCTTTTTTTTTTTGTTTCTTTCTTGTTCTTACGCAAGCAGCTATTATCGTTTTAATGTTTTTCTTTTTTCTTTATTATGGTAAAAAAGAATCTCATGACCGAATGAAAAAAACGCACAAAAAAAAAAGACTTCGGTGGAAATTTTGTAAATTCTTTAACTTATTATGATAATTTAGATATAAATTCTTTCTATCAAATAGTTTTGTATTATAATTTCATGTCTGTATATTTATTTCCATGATGAAAAGCCAACGAAATTTTTAATTTTTTAGATTTCTTTTGTTTTTTTTTGAATTTGATGCCAATCAAATTATTATTTAATGGATAATTTGTATAATTATGATTATCAATTTCGTTTAATTGTTGTGGGAGATTCAACTGTTGGAAAAGTATATTAAATTATAGAATTTTTTAATATTCATGTTCTTCTTTTCTTTTTCTTCTTTTTAAGTCATCACTATTACGAACATTTTGTGATGGAATTTTTTCTCAAGATCCAGTAAGTCAAGTTAATATTATAAATAAAAATTAATAATTTAAATAGGATCCAACAGTTGGTGTAGATTTTCATGTAAGAGTGATTGAAATAAAACCAGGTGTTAAAGTTAAATTACAATTATGGGATACAGCTGGACAAGAACGATTTAGGTAATATTGAAGGATATGACATCATTGTAATTACTATCGGAGTTAAAAAATAATGAATGCCGATATTTTTGTAATAATCTTTGATAGGAACGATGTAGAAATCTGAAACAAAGTATATTTGGGTATTTGCTGGTATTTTATTCTGAATATCAAAGTACCACAACATAGATTTGATTTATAAAAATCAAAGAATCAGTTAATTGAATATACACAGACATGAAATGAGATCATGCTCTCCGATTGGGGGAGGAGGACTGGGATCTGATCCCTCCCCTCCCACCACACATCGAAACTATATATCCGGCTTTCTGGGAAATTTTTGAAAACTTCATGGTAAATTCTGGCAGAAAGTCGATTTATTTAGCATTCTTTGTTTGGTTTCTTCTAATAACGTTAAACAAGATACTTTTTGTAAAATTTTAGTTCCTTCCACTTTTCAAAGCAATCGAGAATTATGAATGTGATCTAAATATATGATAAGAATAAATGAAGAAATTATGTATGAAAAGTAACATTAAATAATAAGACTAAACAAAAATTTCTTCTCAGCTGCATTTCATCGATCGATATAAGCAAAGTGCTTTTTTATTGTACAGAGTACCATCGAGGTACTGCGTTTTTTCCAGCAAAGTACAAAACACAGTACTTTTTCAAAATCGTAGATGCCTCGGATACTTTACTTTTGTTTGAGGTACTTAATATTGGAAACACTGCACTTGAGGAATTATGAAAGTAATTTAAAATCTCATTAGTCAGCTTGTAATATGACCAATTAGTAAGAAAAAAGTTTTTTATTTCGATCTGCGCGACCTCCAATTTTGCAACTACTTCCGTTCAAGAGTCACAAGGATTTTTCTGAGACTTTAGAAGACTCCAAAACAGCTCTTGAAAGAATTATTATTCGCATTAATGTTTATTTCCAGTTTCAAAGCAATCTGAAAGCACTATTTCAGTATTTTTTGAAATTTCAAAAATTTTCAAGTTTTAAAAATCTGCAAATAGTGCTTTCAAACTGTAAATAAACATCATTATTCGACTTAGAGTGATGAATAATCGTTGTCTTGAGCTCTTTTGAAACTTTCTAAGGTTTCAGAAAAACTCTTGTAACTCTTGGATGGAAGTAGTTGCACAATTAGAATATGCGTACAGTGAAAGAGAAAACTTTTTCCTACGGATTGGTGATCTTGAAAGTCAAAATTCAGTGGAAACTAACTACAGAATCTGGTTTTCAAGGCGTTCACCTGATTGGTCGATTACTAACCAATGAGATTTTAATGGTCCTATGTGTTTTCTCTTGAATGGTGAAAACCCAAGGTTTCTACGTTGTTCCTATTAAAATTTATTACAACAATATCCGTCTTCACTATATTTTGATATCAATAGTAGAAATTACAGAAAGTAAAGTGATGAAAAAAAGTTTAACAAGAACGTATTTCGAACCTTTTTTGTTTTGTAGAAGTATTACACGTGCTTATTATCGTAATTCAGTTGGTGTTCTTCTTATATATGATACAACAAATTATGTTAGTTTTACACATGTAACTAGTTGGTTAAATGATGCTCGTCAACAAATTGAACCATATCAATGTGTTTTTCTTCTTGTTGGCACAAAAATTGATCGAGAATCTGAACGACAAGTATGTTTATTTCAAAAAAAAAGAAAATGAAAATTATTCTGTTGGTTTTTTTCTTCTTTTTAAAATTATATTGATACATTAAATTAGGTGACAACAGAAGAAGGCAAAGCTTTTGCTGATTTTCATAATATTCCATTTATTGAAACATCGTCAAAATCTTCTCTCTATGTTCAAGAAGCATTTGCACTTATTGCTCGTGAAATTTATGATTTATTAATTGAAGGACGTATTCATGTTCAAAAAGGGTATATTTATTATTATTATTATTATTATTTAAATAATTAATTTTTATTTTAGATGGGATGGAGTAAAAGTTGGTCCTAATGTAACAAGTTCAAATCAGAATCAATCAATTGATATTACACAGAATAATCAACCTCATCGAAGTGGATGTTGCGGAGGCTAATAATCTCTTTAACTTTTTTCTTTTCTTTTGTATACATAGTTCCTTGGTCTAACAGTGTGTTTGTTTTTATGGTTGCTTTTCCTATCTATATCTATAAATATATATATATATATACATATATTTTTTTTTCTTTCGAAGGAAAATATCCACATTTTGAATAAATCAATCAAGCTCGTTTTTATTGTCCGAACAAAAATTTCATTTATTTGTATCAGATTTTACTTGATTTTTTTTCTTTCCTTGTCTTTGAAATATAAAATCATGATCTTGTATAAGTTGCCTTATAATAAATTAATAATATTTATCGATGACTATAAGAATTAAATATATTCTAGATTTTGTTTTTTCTGCAAAGAACAATATTAATTCGAAATAATTCTGGAATATTTAGGGCAATGGTATGTATTATTAAAGAAATAAAGAGAAAACGATTGGTTAGGAAAAAACAATTCATAAAAAAAAGAAGAATTTGCAACTTTCAGGATAAATACATCTCGATGGGTAGAACAAAAGTTATCATCTGCTCAATATTCCCAAATGCTTCTCTTTGTGAGATATCGCAGTCGCAAAGTCTAAATGTTGCCTATCCTTAATTGCTCCACTTTCTCGGCTGAAGTTTTTAATTTGAACTTTTTTGTAAATCCTGAACAAAAACTCGAGCATTTTAAATAGTTTCTAGTGTAATTCGAACAATGTTTCAGCTCAATTGGATGCACTGTGGTTGAGAAATAAGGATAGTTCTTTATTTTTTTGTGAAAGAACTCATTTTTCAAGTTTTTCGATTTAGACACTTCGAAGCATATATAGAGCAGAAAAAGAATAAAAATTTTGGTCAGGAAAGGAGAGGTCCTGGTAAGACTATCTTCTCATTGTACTCTGAAGAGCGTCGTTTTTTTTACTTGTATTTGTTTCGATCTCTGATAGACTTTCCTTGAAAATCAATATTTAATTTTGTGTTTTAGTAAAAGTCTTCTTTTCTAATTTAATTTTAGAATTCTGTAACTAATAAAAAAATATATTGATTCAAATTATATATTTTCTATAATTGATGGATATCGTTATTTATAAATTTTATTCATTGTTATTAGTTTTAAATTATTTGATTATTTAACCATACAAGAACTCTCATTAGAAGAATTAGCAAATAAACTTAATCTATCTCATTTATTATTATTAGAACGATTTTTAAAATGCTTGTATATTACTTAAATTAATTAAATAAGATAAAATAAATAAGAAATATTCTAATATTTTACTGAATTTTAGATACATATCGAAAAATCAAAAAAAAAACATCGAATTAACAATTCCATATCTTGACAAAGAAAAATTCTTTTCGGCTGAAACTTTGAGGATATTCTAAGGACCATTAGGCCTATCTATTGGTAAAACTCCACTAATTAATTTTCCAGTAAATGTGTAAAGCTGGGTTTAAGTTTCAGTAATAAAGCCTAACATAAGCTCAAACTACGAGAATCAGCTCAGGTAGTTTCCTCGTAAGAAACGTTGGAAAAGTTTCGGACGCATGATGTACTAATGAAGTGTTATTGCCATATTAATGAAATTTTTATTGAGAGAAAAGCATTTCTGAAAAATCCAAAACAATGAGTTTCGATAGGAAATTTCCTCTGCAGGAGGATTTGATAGTCTTGAAAGATTCAGCGAAAGCGAATATGTTTTTCTCGAGATATTCAATTTTCAAGTAGGCTTGAGTCTTTCTAAGGTAAACCGCTGTCATTTTTGGAAGTTCAATATCTCGAGAAAGACATGGATTATCAAATTCATCCTATAGATAAAATTTCAGATCAACACTCTTTGTTTTTAGATCATTCTGAAATACCTCGCTCTCAATAAAAATTTCATTAAAACGGTGGTAAATTTTTTATCAATAGATCATAGACCTAAATCCTTTTAATCTTATCTTAGTCTCACTGATACCTACTCGTAGCAGTAGTATAGAAAGTATTGACATTAAATATAATAAGTTTTGATGTACATCGACATGTGATTAGTCTTAATTCTCATATGCTGAAAATGATGCAATAAAATAATAATCTTCATCTTAAGAATATTTCTTTTGAATAAGAAAAATATTTCAATCAAAAAAAAAAATATTTTTTATTTTATTTCATAATACATAAAGAAATATTGCATCATCCATTTTTAGTTTGTTTTTTTTCTTTATCAAAGATATATTATTCGAAAAAATTTCATTAACATATTTCTTTATATCAAAAATAATTTCATTTTAGATTAAATTTAATTATATAATCTTAAGAAAGAAAAATTAAAAAAATAAAAGCAACATGGTTAAAACGCAATATCGTAGTGTTAAAACTGGAAAAGTCATGTAAGAAATAGAATTTAATACAAATAAATAAATAAATAAATAAATAAATAAATAAATTCGATCATTTGTAGCAATCAAATCCAGTTTGCTCCTTTTTCTTCACTTGATATGCAAAAAGAAGCACATATTCATGTCGTTAGTAAAAATATATATTCACAAGATGCTGCACGAACACCAGCTCAATTTGGTGTACTTGATCCTAAATTGGTAATTATATTGTATTCTTTTTTCTTGTTTCTTGAAAAGAGAATAGGGTTTTCTTTTCCTTCTATGCAGGGTGTTTGTGGAGGAAAACGTTTATGTGATACATGTCATCAAGATGTTACAAAATGTCTTGGTCATTATGGTTATATTGATCTTCAATTACCTGTTTTTCATATTGGATTTTTTCGTTCAATTATTGTTGTTCTTCAAACAATTTGTAAAGTAAGGACTTGGTCTTCTTGATTACAGACAGGTTTTTCTTTAGTTGGAGGCAAAAAATAAACTGTCTGCAAAGTAGAATCGCGGGAAGAGAGTCGAAAAATGTTTGCATTATGGAAATAAACGAAAATTGATATAGTAAAATGATCAGTGTAGATAGCTCGATTTCAGTGAAATTAATTCAGCATTTTATAATATTATAGTTCTTTGATCTTAAATTCAAGTTGAGATTTTGATACTTTCTTTTTTTTTGGTGTAATAAAATATATTTATTATGCATTACGACTATGATCATACAATTGATCCTATCTTAAAAGACAACAGCTATTAACAAATAGAATTGATGATTCATTTTATGCAACCGTGACGCTTATCTTATCTTGAATTTTTTTGTATCATAGTGATGTATTTCTTATTTGGATATTTAGTTATCGTTTGCCAATAGTGATTTAAAGAAATGGGCATTGATTTACAAACTGAATGTTCATTAGTAGCATGACAACTATAAGATGAGATGCTCAGTAGAGTTTATTGATTTCAAAATTTTTGCACACGAACCCAGACGCAACGGACTGTAATGTTGAGACAACTTATTAATGATAATTCTTTGTCAAAAAGACTTATACATTATATTAAGAATTACGGAGAGATGGTAATATTCATATAGAAGAAGACGATAACATTGAATGATTTTCATTAAACACAAATATTAGTAACAGCATTTCTGGACTTGATAAATAGTAGGTATGCTACTTCTCTGTATAGATTCATTGGCATCTATATAAATTTGAAACATTTATGTTACACTTTTTCGTATACATATTTTCAATATTATACCATTATATAGTGTCTTCTAGCAAACATAATAAAAATTCGTTTCAGGAGAAGTGACTAGACAAATTATTCGTCAATCTGAATTTAAGACTGAAGAATTAAATCGAAATTTTCTCAAAATCACAGATGACATTCTTCGTACATATATTGAAGAGACTTTATTTTCTCCCTAATTTTCGAATTTATTTGATCTTATTGCAATTCAACCAAAAACTAACAATCACATAGAAGGATACCATGCTTTAAAAAGTTTTCATTGTCAAAGACATCCTAATCGTTATATCTAGATAAGATATATCCAACGATTAGAATAATCAACAATAGTTCGGGTTGAACATTTCAGTACGAGAAAAAGTTGTTTCAACCACAACTAAATATTATAGTTAATTGACTTAATAAATCAAAAAACAAGTATTGAAGAACTTTTTTTTTGTAGATGTAATACGAATGAACTCTGGAATAGATTTCTCTAAATGGGGATTCAAAAAAAACTCAATCCCTCTAATCAAGATATCCAATTGTGTTTCCTTCGCTCCTCTGACTCTACTTTGTGGACATTTTTTCTTATTTAATCTAAAAGAGGTGTTTACAATTATGGATGTAGACGCGAGAAGATAATTCATTTTTTTCTATTCATAGAAATGTTCACGTGTTATGCTTAATAAAGAAATGAAACAAACATTTCAACGACAATTATGTCGACCTGTTTTAACTTATTTACAAAAAAAATCACTTAGAAAACGTATTCATGAAAAAGCAAAAAAATCAACAATATGTCCATATTGTGGCGAATTAAATGGTAATTTTAAATTTTTTATTTTAAATTAAATTATTGAATACTTTTTCTTTTTTCTTGTTTCAATATAGGTGCTGTTCTTAAATGTGCCCTATTAAAAATTGCTCATGATAAATATCGTACACAAAAACGACAACATAATGCATTAGTAGATATTAATGAATTATTTCATTCAGCTCGACAAGCCAATTCAGAAGTTGCTTCTCTTATTAATTCATATACAGAAATAGTTAATCCAGTTCGTGTATTAGAATTATTTGAACGTATTCCAACAGAGGTTTGTTTCATTATTTAATCTTAGATTGAACTAAACAACTATTCAATTTAATAATCTTTCGAACTTTTATTCCATTGTTTGAACACAAGTAGACTACAATAAAGTATAAAGAAATCTTAAAAGAATGCTTTTCTTTAGATATTTATTCGCGAGATGTAAGTTCCCTTGAATCTCAAAAAACAAGTATTGATTTGAACTGAAATATTTAAAACACTTTAGTAACATTCAGCTCTACTTATAAACAAACTTTCCGATCAAAAATACATCATGCAAATTTTTCGGGTATACCTTATATATGTCATCGATATTTACTTATACAAATCAGTCTTTTAATATTACGTTAGAAGAAAAAGTGAAATTGAAATTAAGTATCGAAACTTGATATCAAAGTCTTCCCACTCATAGTTGCAACAAACTTTCAATCTAATTATATGACCATTATTTTTAATATTGTAGAACTCATATAATCTTTTATGAACGTTTAACTTTCGATTTCTACTTCTATTATCATCCCATCTTCATAGGCATTCGTCTTCAATATCATTTCTTTTATTATTTAATATAATCCATATTCAGAATCAATTTATACACATAAGAAGCTGATTTTGTTAATAGTCTCAAATGATCTATGTTTAAGACTAATGAATTTATGATTACATTTTTCATTTTGTGAGAAATATAATTCGATTTGTTCTTCATCGAATTAGAATATCTCATTATTTTAATTACACTTTGTTCGAACAATAAACAACTTTAATGATTGCAGGACTACAAGATTATAGTTAACAGAGATGTCCACTGTGACGCTGCCGCTGCCGCGGTGGCTGTGCAACTCAGCGCGGTTGCAGCAAGTTTTCAGCCGCGATGGATATCTCTGATAGTTAAATATTCTATGTTTCTAAGCGAATTATCTTATAAATCAGAGCATAATTCAAGAATAATGACTCAAAGAGTGCTAGTCATAGATTGAAAAAAAACCGAGTATTGAAGAGTTCTTTTAGGTACGATAGGAATAGTTTTACTGCGCGACCAAAAAAACTTAATTCCGCACATCTCTAAATATGAGTCGGTGCACCCTTTGTAACAGATCATAATCATTCAAATTTATTTCGCTACGTAGATCCTATCAGTTACCTGGTCTTATATGAATATTATTTTTGCATTATCGTAGCTTCAAATCAAAATTGTTCAGATCGGAAACATGTCGCGAATGTGATATCTTGTTAATTATGAAATGCTTTATTTTTCTTACATTCTATGAGAAAGAAAAATGTTTTGCTTTTGCCATAAAAAAAAAATATTTTTCTTCATAGGATTTACCTCTACTTCTTATTGATGAATCCATAATTCATCCACGTGATTTTATACTCTCAAGAATTCTTGTTCCACCAATATGTATTCGACCAACAGTTCAATCTGATTTTCGAGCTGGCACGTACGTTAATTTAATATATTTTTGTATAAATCTCTCTTCATTGTTTGTTTGCTTCTTTTTATTATCTTAAAGAAATGAAGATGATTTAACAATAAAATTAAGCGAAATAATTTTTTTAAATGATGTTATACAACGTAACCGTTTAAATGGTGTTAAAATGGATAGACTTGTTGAACAATGGGATTTTTTACAATTACAATGTGCACTTTATATAAATAGTAGTTTATCTGGTATTCCAGCTCATATGCAACCAAAAAAATGGATACGTTCATTTGCACAACGATTAAAAGGCAAACAAGGTCGTTTTCGTGGTAATTTATCCGGTAAACGTGTAGATTTTAGTGCACGAACAGTTATTTCACCAGATCCAAATTTACGTATTGATGAAGTAAGTTGTTATTTTCATATAAAAGAAAATATGTATAGAATGTTTCAAAAATTTTCCAAAATGATAGTATATTCATTTAAATTTTATTTCATATAATTTGATTTACAATAAAAGTTCGAAATGATTCTCATCAACTGAAATATATTATTAGTGAAACCTTCAAAAAAAAAATAGTCTTACATACATAGGATTTTTATTTTATATTCATAAATAAACTATTTAAATGAAAAGAGATTTCATTTGAAAGAAAAATGAATTCTTCTGACGGTCGAGATTTTCTAATATTGGCATCAACGTGATATCATTTTCAACTCGATCTTGTCAATGTTCTTCATGAAGTTGTTAGATAAATTTTACTTTATATAGCTTCATTAGAAGATAATCAATCATAATTCGATCTACTGTTGTTTATGGAATGAAGCAGTGTTAATTAAAATTAATTGATAAGTAATTAGCGAGTATCAATCTAACTATAGGAGAAAAACATTCGAAAACTTCAGAGTAGACCGTCCGGTATGACCCGCATCTATGCTGATGTGTTCAACACGATCAGACTTCAAAAACGTTCCTTATAAGAATCGGTTTTCTAGAGATTCTGAAGAAGAATTTATGTCGTTTGGAATTGAACTAGTGTTCTATTAATAACTCCTTTGAATAAAGGTCTCTAGCGATAATTTTTACATGATATCTAGAGTAACTTAATATATAAAAATTAGCTCTAGAAAACATTTATTATCCCAAAAACCATGTGTTTTTTATTTTGTGAAGTCATGCTGCTAACGGAATAATTTTGGTCACATATATATTTATTTAGGTAGCTGTACCAATTCATGTTGCAAAAATAATGTCTTATCCTGAAATAGTTAATAGAACAAATATAGAATTTATTCGACAACTTGTTCGAAATGGTCCTGATGTTCATCCAGGTGCAAATTTTATAATTAATCCAAAAAATGATCATAAAAAATTTCTTAAATACGGTGATCGTAATGAAATGGCTGCTAAATTACGTGTAAATATCCTTGATTGATATTTATATTCTATATAAAAAATAATGTTTTTTTTTCTTCTTTTTATCTTAGTTTGGTGATGTTGTTGAACGACATTTAATTGATGGTGATATTGTTTTATTTAATCGACAACCATCATTACATCGTCTTTCAATTATGGCATTATATGCAAGAGTTATGCCTCATAGAACATTTCGTTTTAATGAATGTATTTGTTCACCATTTAATGCTGATTTTGATGGAGATGAAATGAATCTTCATTTACCACAAACGGAAGAAGCAAAAGCTGAAGCACTTGTACTTATGGGGGTAAAGAAAATTTTCTTATTAATCAAATTGTTTCATTTTGTGTTTTATATTGACTTATTTAGACAAAATCTAATCTTGTTACACCACGTAATGGAGAAATGATTATTGGTGCAACACAAGATTTTCTTACTGGTATGATAAGACGATTGATGATCCAATAAATAACTAGACGATAAAAACACTGAATATTTTCAGCCTATTTTAACCAATTGAACTGAGTTTTTGTTCTTGGTGATAGACGACTTTTGAAAGTTTTTATTTATAAAGAATGTTTCCTCTTACGATCTCAACCGCTCTTAAGGCTACATATCTGGAAATTTAGCATATGAATTATCTTAGAAATGTGGTCTCGATCGCTTGAGGTGAAGAAGAATTATGAAAACGTCACATGTCTACCTCTAACAATGGCTGAGATTTATGCAAATCAGGCCTATCATACTAAATGCTCATGAGAGAATCTCTTCAGGTGTTAAATCATCTTTCGATCGAAACGATATTCACTTCATAAGTAATAGAAAAGTCTAAAATGGTTTGATTTTCTGAGCGTTCGTTCTTGAGATATCAAAATTTGACTGGGGTTTTCCTCTTCAGGTCACGTGAAAAATCGACTTTCAAACTTTGCATAAAAAAAGTTCTCCATGAGATTAATTCATTTGGAAAGTTATAACTTCTCATATTTTCTAATCTGAGATATTCGAAATTCTCTCATGTGTAGAATCTTAATAAGAATTATTCTATAGGTGCTTATTTACTAACTCAACGTGATACATTTTTTGATCGATCAAAAGCTTGTCAATTACTTATATGGATACTTGCAAATAAAGATGGATTAGAAAAAATTGATTTACCACCACCAACTATACTTAAAGTATACATATATTGTTAATAATACTTTTGTTTTGTATGAAAAAATTTTATTCTACTTTTTTTTTTCTTTTGAAATAGCCTTGTCAATTATGGACAGGCAAACAATTATTTAATGTTATACTTCGACTTAATAATTCTTGTAAAGATATTATTAATTTACGTGTAAAAGGTAAAGCTTATTCTGGTAAAGATGAAGATTTATGTTGCAATGATGGATGTAAGTTGTTTTACTTTCATAGAAAAATTTTTATTTAATTAATCAATTTATTTTTATTTTTATTTAGTTATTGTTATTCGTAATAGTCGTCTTCTTCTTGGTTGTGTTGATAAAAGTGTATTAGGTGCAAATGGAAAAACAAATGTTTTCTATTTACTTTTACGTGATTGTTCTGAATTAGCAGCAGCTATAGCTATGGCACGTTTAGCACGATTAACTAGTTATTATTTAAGTAAGTTAATTTGTTTTGTTTATTTATTATTTTTTTCTCTCTGTTTTTTTTTAGTGAATCGAGGTTTTTCTATTGGTTTAATTGATGTAACACCCGGTGAAAATTTATTAAAAGCAAAACATGCATTAGTTACTGAAGGTTATAATAAATGTAATAATTATATTCAACAATTAAAAGAAGATAAACTTCAATTACAACCTGGTTGTTCTCGAGAACAAACACTTGAAGTAAAATAATTTTTTTTGGTTCTATATTCAAAAAACAAGAAGAATTGTAATAAAAATATTTAATAATTTTAGGCATTGATTTTAAAAGAACTTTCTGATGTTCGTGAATCTGCTGGTAAATTATGTCTTCAAGAATTACAACGTTCAAGTAATAGTCCATTGATTATGGCTATTTCGGGATCGAAAGGTATTTTATTATGATTAATAAGATCTAATATTTTTGAAAAGATATACGTAATTACTATTCATTTCAGAATAGAAGGCGAGTGATTGCGAGTCGAATAACTCGGAAACGGAAGCAGCTATGGAGCTGCAGTTTTCATCATTAAAAAGCGGACACTGAGGCACGTAAATCTATGGAAAAATTTTATTGGGCAGTAATGAACCAATAGGATGAAAGCCCGCTGGACATTTTGAAGATAGCTTCTGGAATGCTTTTTTTCATTAAATTTTGAACTTGAATTAAACCATTCGATAGAAAAAATTCTTCTCTTTCGATCTACATAAAGCCAAGCTCGATAGGTTGCTCCATTCGGTAGCTATAAGCGTTTTCCTGAGACCTCCAAAATCGGCCATGTAATGCAGAATCACACTTAAAAGTATTACGTTATAGGTAATCGACCACGCTGAATTCAGTGATGATGTTTGTTTTTTTTATTTCAAAGTAATCTGAGATCATTGTATCAAGATTTTCAACATACGTGTTCTTTAAGCTGAATAGCAGCAAAAACTAGATTTACGAAAACTTTTCTAAAATGATCTCAAGTTACTTTGAAATAAAAAAACAAACATCACCGCTAAATTCAGCGTGATCGATTACCTATAATCTAATGCTTTTAAGGATGATACTGCATTGCGTGGCCGATTTCGGAGGTCTCAGAAAAATACTTATAGCTATCAAATGGAACAACCTATCGAGCTTTGCTATGTGTAGATCAAAAGAGAAGAAATTTTTCTATCGAATGATTTAATTCAAGTTCAAAGTCCAATAAAAAAAAGCATTCCATAAGTTATCTTCAAAATGTCCAGTGGACTTTCATCCTATTGATCCATTACTGGCCAATGAAATTCTTTCATAGATTTACGTGCCCCAGTGTCCGCTTTTTAATAGTGAAAACCGCAGCTCGATAGCTGTTCCCGTTCTCGAGTTATTCGACTCAGAATCACTCGCACTTCTATTTTGAAATAGATAGTAGATAGAATAATAGAACACAGAATTACCTACAAAATGAAATTTTTTTTTCAAAAGTGTATGATAGCTCGGGTCCAAACGGATAAGCACGACGGGTCAAGCTCACATGTGCAGTTCAGTTTCACTGGTCTAGAACGGAGCTGTCACAAAACTAAATGTGTAGAATAAAATAAGATATTCAATAACACTTGCTTATGTGAGAAAAAAAAGTAGATCTCACATTCGATTCATATGAAATGAGCTGATTTTGTTTTAATCAATTTTGTTTTTCTATTAGGATCAAATATAAATATTTCTCAAATGGTTGCTTGTGTTGGTCAACAAGCTATAAGTGGATCTCGAGTACCAAATGGATTTGAAGATCGTTCATTACCACATTTTGAAAAAGATTGTATGTCTTAGTTTAATTTTGAGAAATAAAAAACTATATATCCATACTTTTTTTTTTAGCAAAGATTCCAGCTGCAAAAGGTTTTGTTGAAAATAGTTTTTATTCTGGTTTAACACCAACAGAATTTTTCTTCCATACAATGGGTGGTCGTGAAGGTATATCAAATTTTTTTATTAAACAAAGAAAAATTTTTATTTTTTCCTTTACTTATCAGGTCTTGTTGATACTGCTGTAAAAACAGCTGAAACAGGTTATATGCAACGTCGTCTTGTTAAATGTCTTGAAGATTTATGCTGTCAATATGATATGACTATACGAACATGTACAAATGATATTGTACAATTTACATATGGTGGTGATTCATTAGATCCAATATTTCTTGAAGGTAAAGATCAACCTGTTGATTATGAACGAATTTATCAACATGCTCGAGCAAAATATCGTTATGATGATGAATATCCATTAAATGGAATTGAAATGAATAATTTTGTTGATAAACAACTTGAATTAAATGAATATTCAATAATGGATGAAGAATATAAAACACAAATTAGAAAATTTATTCATAATATTTCATTAAATGTTGATCAATTTCGAATGAAATATCATATTGATAATATTTTAAATTCTTATATTAAAGAAGAAGATGAACAAGAATTAAAATCAAATAAAAGTCAAAAACGTACATTAAAAACAGTAACAAATCAATCAAATAAAAAACAACGTTCAATATCAAATGTTCTTTATGAAATTGAACGATGTACACAATCACAATTACTTCAATTTCTTCAATTATGTAAATATAAATACGGACGAGCACGACTTGAACCTGGTACAGCTGTTGGAGCACTTTGTGCTCAAAGTATTGGTGAACCGGCAACACAAATGACATTAAAAAGTTTGTACTTATGATCATACTAGAGATTTTTTTCAACTATTGCTTCCCAGACAGATCCTTCCTCGATATGTTTTATTCCTACGGTTCTAAGAGCAATCAGAATAGTATTGAAGTTATATATATATAGACCTCCCATCTGAATCTCGTTTGTTATACTCCCTTTGTTCTCACCCTCACGAGGAAAAAAAGATCATGGTAGAAAAATTGAACCAAGTACTTAGGACATATCAAAGGTTCTGGCTACGGCATCATTCATCCATACACACACTGATAAGATGACGAGAGATGCTACCTATAGGAGCTTGTAGTCCGTCAAAAACTGTAGAAAATCGAATGTGAGATAAAATATTTTACAAATACTTTCGATTAATACCAACGATCATAATATTCAGAAACTTATCCTGCTTGGGTGTGGATGTGTAGTTGTCGTCTATCAGTAAATTGACTCTAGTTCTTTTAAAGTCTTATGAAAACAAGATTTACTATATACCATTCGACGTGCCTCAAAAAAGTTCTACAACATCGGATATTGGGCTTTTCATTTCTCAATAAGTCTCTTTATCCGAAAAGATCATTAAATGCTGTGACTAGAACTTTTGGTATGCTCTAAGTATTTGTTCTTTGACGTGAATTTTTGCTTATGAATAGGTCTTACAATTCTAAAAGTATACGGAAGTTTTTAGTGAAAACAATAGATTCCTTCTTAAAATATCCTACATTCACAGACGAATGAGATTTTAGAAACAGTGAGAAAAATCGAAAGCTTTTGAATGGTGAATATTTCAATAAAAGATTCATCTTTTTGACTAAAACTTTTACGATATTCTTAACATCATGAGATCTACTTATCGATAAAATTTTTCGGTTCATAACTAGAGATTTGGAGGACTAAAATTTGAAGATTTGACGGACTGGAACCATAAATATGACCCAAAAAAGTTCTAGTCATCGATAGAATAAGCCGAACAACAAGTATTGAAGAATGTTTTTAGTTTTCGCTAACTCAGGACCAGGATTTGGGCCAAAAAAATTCGTTTAAGTCTACCAACTATGAATTCAAAAGTAATGAATCATTTCGAATGATTGCTTCATGAATCCTATGACGAAACCTTTTAATGAAAATAAATCTAATAAGATTTAAACCTATCAGGTCTTTGTCTAAAGTTACGTTCATAGAAGAACTCGAACATTTATTTAATAATTCTAGATTTCTAATATGAACTTTTTTGGATATTCTAATTCTTTATTCTACAATCACATTTCTATTGATACAATTTCTTACTAAAAGTTCATAGATACGAATAAGGTGAAGGCAAAATATTTAGAAACGAAGTATTTTTGACTTTTTTCCCTTAGCGGTAATCGCTAGAACAAATCAAAGGAAAGATTTAAGTAGCTACAATAATTTCTCATCATGAGAGGTATTTTATCAAATTCCCATTAATAGATTTGAGTAAACGATCTTTGGAAAATAAATTTTTTTATCATCCTTTTTACATTTAAAATATTCCTCAATCTTATAGGTAATTCGAAATTATATTTTTCTTGAAAAATTTTATTTCTTTTTTAGCTTTTCATTTTGCTGGTGTTGCTTCAATGAATATAACACTTGGTGTACCACGTATAAAAGAAATAATAAATGCTGTTAAAATACCATCAACTCCATTGATAACAGTTGAATTAATTAATGAAACTGATCAAAATTTTGCACGTAAAGTTAAAGGTCGTATTGAAAAAACATATCTTGGTCAAATTTCACAATATATTGAAGAAGTATATGAATGTGATGATTGTTATTTATTAATAAAACTTGATCTTGATCGTATACGTTTATTACAACTTGAAATAAATCCAATGACAATTATAGATTCAATTGTTGAAGATAAAAAAATGAAAAAAGTTAAATATAATCAATTAGAATTAATATCACCTGATATAATTACATTACATGTATCTGATACATCAAAAGGAAATATGTATTATACAATGAAACGTTATAAAGAAATTTTACCAAATATTGTTGTTAAAGGTATATCAACAGTTGATCGTGCTGTTATAACAATTGATGATAAAAATGGTATAAAATATAAATTATTTGTCGAAGGTGAAGGTATGAGAGATGTTATGGGTACACAAGGTGTTAATGCTAATAAAACAACATCAAATAATACAATGGAAGTATATCGTTGTTTGGGTATTGAAGCAGCACGAACAACAATAATTAATGAAATTGTTTATACAATGGCATCACATGGTATTGGACTTGATGTTAGACATGTTATGCTTTTAGCTGATTTAATGACTTATAAAGTAAACTTTTTTGTACTACGTAAAAGAGTGAAGGATCGATAACTGATGAAATCGACTTCTTACAGAAATGTGAAACTCATTTGAGGTATTCCAATCTATGAAACTTATTCATACTGTACTTTGGTCGATTGAAATAGTTAATGGTCGTTGAGGATGATCAGCTTGTTTTGTGTATCTATGAATCCAAGGATCGATCAGACTACTATCCATTTCAAAATAGAAGGCGAGTGATTGCGAGTCGAATAACTTGGGAACGTAAGCAGCTATCGAGCTGCAGTTTTCATCATTAAAAAGCGAACACTGGGACACGTAAATCTATGGAAAAATTTCATTGATCAGTAATAGACCAATAGGATGAAAGCCTGCTCGACATTTTGAAGATAGCTTTTGGAATGCTTTTTTTCATTGGACTTTGAACTTGAATTAAACCATTCGATAGAAAAAATTCTTCTCTTTCGATCTACACAAAGCCAAGCTCGATAGGTTGCTCCATTCGATAGCTATAAGCATTTTTCTGAGGCCTCCGAAATCGGTCACGTAACGTAGAATCATCCTTAAAAACATTAGATTATAGGTAATCGATCACGCTGAATTTAGTGGTGAGGGTTTGTTTTTTATTTCAAAGTCACCTAAGATCATTATAAAAAGTTTTCGTAAATCTAGTTTTTGATCCTCTTCGACTTAGAGAACACGTATATTGAAAGTCCCGATACAGTGATCTCAGATTACTTTCAAATAGAAAGCAAATATCACCACTGAATTCAACGTGGTCGATTACCTATAATCTAATGCTTTTAATGGTGATTCTGCGTTATCTGGCCAATTTCAAGAGTCTCAGGAAAATGCTTATAGCTATCGAATGGAGCAACCTATCGAGCTTGGCTTTGTGTCGATCGAAAGAGAAGAATTTTTTCTATCGAATGATTTAATTCAAGTTCAAAATTCAACGAAAAAAAAGCGTTCCAAAAGCTATCTTCAAAATGTCCAGTGGACTTTCATTCTATTGATCCATTACTGACCAATGAAATTCTTTCATAGATTTACATGCCCTAGTGTCCGCTTTTTAATAGTGAAAACCGTAGCTCCATAGCTGTTCTTGTTCTCGAGTTATTCGACTCGGAATCATTTGCCTTCTATTTTGACATGGATATTAGTATTCATATAATTCGATAGTGCCTTTCAACGGTTTCAAAATGACATAAAAACGTCAAGAAAAAAATCATTATTCGATATGAGCTCATGTGAAGCACATAGCTCCGATGCGTTCTTCTTTTTAAGTATTATCCACTGAAATCGTGTGTCAATATCATATAATATTTTAGAGTTCAATCATCATTTCAAAGACTTAGAAGGTGATTCTGGCTATTGAAAAAACATCATAGCCAGATTCATTTGTTGATCGTACAATAATTGATAATAACAGAAATATTTTTTTTAAAAAAAAAAAAAAAAAGCTCTAGCCTGGTCGACCTTTGGATTCATAGATTATAAAAAAGCTGATCATCCTCAACAGCAATCTTTCCAGGGATCACTTTGAGACATCTTGAGTGAGAATTTCACACGACAGAAATCATATTTCTGTAGGGAGTCGATTTTATCAGTTATCGACCTCTCTCCCTTATTAAGAATTTCTTATTGTCTAGGGTGAAGTACTTGGTATGACAAGAAATGGATTAGCTAAAATGAAAGAAAGTGTTTTAATGCTTGCATCATTTGAACGTACAATTGATCATTTATATGATGCTGCTTATCATGGACAAAAAGATACTATATGTGGAGTATCTGAATGTATTATAATGGGTATACCAATACGTATTGGTACTGGAATATTTCAATTATTATATAAGTAAAAAATAAAATCATAATAATTTGATTACAAATAGAAATTTTATGTTTTTTTTTTAGACATCCAAATCGTGGAAGTTTAACTAGACGAGAATTATTATTTGATAATCTTGATATGCATCAACCACTTGTTGTTTCTTGAGCATGCTATTTTTTTTTTGTTTTGTTTTTTGTGATACGTTTTCTATCCGTAGGAAAAAATAAATCTGATTTTGTTATTCTAGATGAGTGTTGTTGGACATACAAGAGTACCACCGCCAATACCAGCGGTAATATTTTAGAAATTTTAAATTTAATCATCTGTATTTCTTATGCTTGTTTTTTTTTTTTAGAAACCAGGTTATGTTTCGATTGTTAAAGCTTTGTATAGTTATACAGGTAATTAATTATTTTATTATGAAGAATAATTTATTCAATTTTAATATTTAGCACGTTCACCAGAAGAATTATCATTTGAAGAAGGTGAAATACTTTATGTAACTGATGATGCAAAATATAAAGATTGGTATTTGGCTACGACGAATAAAAATCGCACAGGTGGTCTTATTCCAAAAAATTATGGTAGACTTATATTGTATTTATTTATTTATTTTTCAAACTTTATTATTTAGTTGAAGAAAGTACAGAAAAACTTTCAAATGCATTACATGATGCAGCTAAACGCGGAAATATTGAATTTCTTCAACAATCACTTGCTAATAAGGTACAGAATAGGAATGTAACGGTAATCATCGGTCTTGAGTAGATCGCTGGGTTGATCTAGACACGTACGTATAGTCCTGAAAGTGAACATGGCGAATTCATGATAAAACTATGGTAATCTTAGATTTATTTGTTCGGTTGAAGGAGATTAGAACTAATGAGGAAATATTCTCTCGAAAACCTTTCGTCTATTACCTTGAAATGTCCTTCTCGATCAAAATCAGTGCAAGACCATTATAGTTTAATGATGCGTTCACCATCTTCATTGTTAGTCTATATGTATACATTTAGATCAGTACAAAGCTGTACATAAGACCGATGCATGATTATCGTTACTTCATTATTATCGAACTTATCTTATATATATATATATATGATAATTTTTATATATGATATAGGCGTCGGTTCTTGGTCTTGATAAAGCAGGAAATACACCATTTCATTGGGCATGTTATTCAGGTGATATGGATTGTGTTAAATTATTGTTACCTCTTTCGTTATCAATTATCAACCAAAAGGTATAGTTTTTTTTTTTTACAATGAAATCGATCATTAGAATTTTCTTCTAATAAGATTGACGAAACGAAGGATTAATGACAGATTCGAATCGAATTACTGAACAGATTTCGATTATGAAGGTCTTTTAAAAAGAACTGAAACTGATAAACAGTTCATTTGACATTAGTGAAAAGCAATCGTGAGGAGATTCGTCCTTCGTTTCGCAATCGTAAATTTTTTTGGGTTTTTCTCTGCTTTGTCGATACTTCGCTGTATCTATTATCTACTGGACATATTTTCAAAAATTAACATATAACTAGAATCACCCTTCCCTGTTTCTCAACCGCAGTATGTCTCATCAAGCTGAAAATTTCTTTTACTGATAACAGAAACTGTTTAGGATGTCGACGTTTTTATTTCATAATATGATGTACCTCTAGTTTTTGCCTAGGGCTTACAAAAAAAATATACATTTTTGGGAGGGATTTTCTCAGAATTTTAGTGTTTTTATTCGAACAGAAGAGTAAAATGGTAGGTAACCCAAACAGTGTCTAGTATCTCTGTAAATAAATTTTTAGTTCTGTTAGAAGCATTGTGACTGAGAAGGGTAGGGACGATAAGGCGAACCATTTTTTTTACCCTTGCGTGTCCTCTAAGAGAAGCATCCAGTGATGTTGAGTCTATGACAATTTTTACTCTATAGATTGAGATCTATATACTATAAAACCTTCAAAATTGCCTGATCAATTGCTCTTAAGAATTATCGAAACGGGAAGAGAATTCTCTTACGAAAATAACGATTTCTTATAAAGTTCAATCAAAAACAATCGAGATTTATAAATTTGAATCTATTGATAATTTCTCAAAATTAGTGATTTTCACTTTTTCATCAGAAATACTGGTAGATCCAGTTCTTAGAATCGAAAGAATAAGATTTGTTGCGTTCTATACAATAGATATAGAAAAAAAATTCATAGACATAAGTTTTTCTCTTATATATTTTTTATTAGAACAATGTTGGTGATACACCATTGCATGTAGCTAGTTGGAAAAATCATCCAGATATTGTTCAAATTCTCGTTGAAAATGGTAATAACAAACGAGAAAAAAAAAGAATATTTATCGACTTTTTTTCAAATATTATTTTATAATTTATTAGGTGCTGATAAACGTATACGTAATCAAGATAATAAAACACCACTTGATCTTACTCATGATCCGAATATTCGATCAATATTAGAGGACAAAGGTAACTTTTTTTGTTTTTTGATTTGACATATTTGTCATTTCTATTTGTTTATATAGTTATTTTTTCCAATTATAAACCACGTAACACGCAACAGAATCCTGATGGCAATGATGAAGATGATGATTCGGATTAAATAATTAATCTAAAAAAAATAAATTTCATTTTTGCTCTATATATCTTATTTGGCTGATGTCGTTTCATTTCAATATATATAAAGACATTCCATAAAAATTCTTATTTCTTTTTTTTTTTTTTTGTTTTATTATGTCATCACATTTACATATATTAATACTTTCATAGTTAAATAAAACAACAAATAAAATACTCGTTGTAGTAAATAAATATTTGATGAGGATGATGATGATAATAATAATAAATGATTATTTTCTTGACAATTATCTAAATAGTGTAAACTATTTTCGACATTAATTGATAATAAGCCAGTGTGTGTACAACTGTTTTCGGATAAAATCCAACTAGCTGTCATTGATTTTAATGGTTGAATCTAAAGAAAATATTTTACATAAAACAAAAGTTGGTAATACAATTTCTGCATGATTAAAATGTTAAATATGTTATAGTTGCTCTTGCTAATTATAGAAAAATTATTTTGTTCTATCTATTTTAGGATACATTTCTTCTTCACCATCATTTTACTTTATCCTTCAGAAAAACAATATCGAATCGAACTTTTTGGATGATTTTGTTTTTAACCCTTTACCTCCCATAGCGGTTTCGGAAGAGCCACTGATAAAATAACTTTACAAATAAAGTATTAGCCTCTCTAATATGCCAATGATGTGGTCTGATCCACCGAATGTCCTGCTCCTAGAGTAGGGCGGCTCGATAGATTCAGCGATCATGTAGTGGAAAAAGGAAATTGAACAACATGATAAGACTTGAGTTTTTTTCTTTGACCACACTATTGAGTGGGTAGAAGCAACATATATTCCGTACTTTAGAAATAATGGGAAAAGAAACAGTTGTGAACCGATAAAAATTAATACCAAAGAATGCATGCGTTTTTTACACGTGTTGTCAAATGAGAGTCCTTTTTGCTCTGAGTCATTTTATGACCTCAGAAGAAATTTAATTCATAATAAATACTATTTCCACTTGTCATGAGTTGAGGTTTATAATGCATATATTAACTTTGTTCTTGATTGCCCTCCATCTGCCTAGTAGTGGCTACATGGCCAATAGTGTGTCTGAACATGTGTAATTCGTTAAGTTATCATAAAACTTTTGGAACATGTTTTATTCATTAGTGGACTTCGTCATCAATTAATATCGCACAGAAGTTCCAAAAGATCTCTATTAGCCTATGGGTATAGAATATTTTATTTGAAAAATTTCAATCTTTTTCATTTTTTTTTTCAAAATTATCAATTTTGAAGGCCCGATATTTCAAAGATGGAGCAATGAAAAAATCTACTCTTTTTACCAATTGATAATCCATGATGTTTACTACAAAAAAGGTTCTTATCGTTTTTGAATCCGACGCTTCCTTTATTTTCTGCAATGTTTCTAACAAATGGCAATTCCAATTGCCAAAGGAGGGTAAAGGGTTAAATATAACTTTCTCATAAAGTTGACGTTTGAAATGCGATTTGCGTCAAAATTACAGTCAGTATTTACCCACGTGATACCTATCCAATCAGACAAACTTTTGAAAAAACGCATTCAAATGAGAACTGCAATTGAGCGCAGTATGCACGCCCAATAAAAAAAAGCCACTTTCCACTAAAAACACACAAAAGCGTTCGAAAAAAAAACAATTTTTTCAACGTTCTATTTGAGCGTTGAAACGCGTTTTTTTCTAAAAATCTGTCTGTATGGGCAAGTATTATATGATGAGATGTTGCAATATATGATCTATGATTGTATATCAATAATATCTGTCACGATCTATGTGAAAGAGTTGCAAATTTCTACCGTATCTATTTCAACACTCGTTTTGAATCGTGTTTCAAAAAAACAAAAAATTTTTATTTACCAAACAAAATGCTTTTGTTTTGTCATAAAGAATTATTGTACGTTGAAATCGATGATCTGTACGCCATGATGCAAGACATATACCTTTAATTGATGTTATAATATGTACATCCGGTACAATATCATGACGACAAGATGAAGTTAATGTTAATTCATTTGAATTTGTTATTTGACAACCAATTGATAATGTCCAACGACCAGTTGAACATGTTGAAATAGATAAAGATGATTGATAAGAATTTAATGATTTATAAATACCAATTTGTGGACATGAAATATTTGATTTTGTCATAGGTTCTAATGAAATAAATTATTAATAAAAAGAAATAGAAAAAGAGATGACTTACTAAATAGAGTATAATGTATATGACTTTCTTTACATTGATGTTCATCAAATCCTAAAATAATTTATAATATGTTAATCTTCGTATATGTGCTTTTGAGTCTTTCTTCTAGAATTATAATTATTTTTAATGAGATTTTCAACAAAATGCATTGATCCTTTGAAAAATGACGTGTAAATTTCGAATGCAACTTTGTAGAAATAAAAAACTAATTCATTATGAAAGTATTAGACTTTCTAATATTTTTTGAGATATAAATATAAGAACCAAAGCATCAGAAAATTTCCCATATTGATAGTATCCATAGGTAAAAAATACTAGAAAATCTTATACTTTCACAATGAACTACTCCTA